TGACAAGAACTCGTGCGGATTTTCAGACCATTCCATTGGAAAATGTGGCTAACATCATAAAAATACCAGATATCGGGTAGAAAATGGGACTTGGGCAAGAAAAAGTAAACGCAATTGCCAAACACCTTTAATTTGTATTTACCCCAAATCCCGGACCATCGACAGTTGTTTAACCTCTAATTGACGATATGTTCCGAATCCAATACGATATTCTCTAAAGAAATCGAAAGTTCATAGCCTCGACGAAACTAAAAAAATCCCCGGGTAAAGATTGGATTTCTCCAAACATGTTCAGAAATTCCAACACCGGCCGTTAAACTATTGTTATTTAGATTTACAGCATTCTTCGAGTAGGGTACTTCCCGTCTGTATGGAAAGAATCTGAAATAGTAAGGATTCCAAAACCTGAAAAGATCCAACGCAGATCAAATCGTATAGACCCATCAGTCTTCTATATATCTCTAAAAAAAGCTGTTCGAAACACATTACTAAGAAAGTGAACCTCCCCATTTTACAAGTAGCAATATTATCCCCGACCACCAATTCGGCCTTCCATATGAACCAATGTACTATTGAGCAAGTACACCGCATAGTCACAAACATTAGAATGGCATTCGAAAGGAAGGAATATTGCTCCGCGTAATTTATAGACATTTCCCAAGCGTTTGACAGAGTCTGGCATCTTGGAATTCTATACAAAATTTGTGAAACTCTACCTAAAAACACTCATAAACTTTTTTGCAGTTATTTGTCAAATCGCACATTTGTTGTTAAATCGAAGGCGTACTATCAATTCGAGAAAAATATTGGCCGGTGTCCCACAGGGTTGTATCTTAGGACCAATTCTGTATGTGTTATTTACTGCCGATATGCCCACAACCAATGAAACTCTCACCTCAACGTTTGCTGATGATACTGCTTTCATTAGCATACACAAGGATCCTACGATAGCGTCGAAAGAACTACAAACCATGTAGATCTTCTCAAAAAAATCTTTAATACCCAAGTTCCACAGAAAGACACAGTAAAATATCTCTCAGCACCTGGACCGAAGTCTTACATGGAAGCAACACATCGAGTGCAAAAATCACGCAAATTAAAATAAAAAGGCCAACCTTGAGTGGTTAATTGGTTGGTATACTTTTTTCTATTAAATTAGAATACAAAGTTCTATTATATAAGACTGTAATAAAGCCAATATGGATTGGCATACAGCTCTGGGGCACAGCTAGTGCCTCTAGGTACAAAGTAAACAATCGAATATTCTTAGATCTATTACAGGTGCACCATGGTACATAAGAACGCCAAACATCCACAAGGACTTAAATATACTTACCGTTGAAGAAGAAATAAAGAAGCTTTGCCGAAAGTACTTAAGCAAACTATCCGAGCACCCAAATAGCTTGGCCCGCCAACACCTACTACTCGGAGGAAACGATAGACCTGCGTAGACGTGACACTCTTCCTATCACATAGTTTATGTTTTGTCTTACTCTCTCATTATTTTCAGCTCTTGTCTGGCCAATTGAACGTTGTTTTCATCGCCCACTGTTATGCTAACGGGAAGAAAATCGATAAGACTAAAGTCCATAAAAAATTCTGTTAAAATTTAAAAATATCGAATATAGCCGTTATATTGTGGTCTATACGATGTTTACCTACATAGGCCTTGTTTGTCATAAGCCACTACCCTATTCAAATTCGAAACTTGAAATAAACGGTGAATAATGTAATGTAATGAATAATAATGTAAAGTCATCAAATATCGTATCGTATTTTCAAAGGGAGGTACCGTTGCATCGGAGCTGTGCGAAGACCTAGGCCAGCATAGACAATTTTCTGTCACAGGCTATAGCATCGACTACGAACGTCAAATACGACATCTCAAAAGATTTCGGAGGGTATTGCACCTACCGAATATAAGGAGGTACTGATATATGGGACCTATACGAAGACCTGTACCTGCATAGACAATTTTCTGTCACAAACTGTAGTTTCCATTACGATACGTAATTTGAAACAATTCCGTTAAATAATGACGCTAAAATCATCAAAATACCGAATTTTGGGAGGTACCGTTATATGGCGGCTATACGAAGACGTGGACCTGCACAGACAATTTTTTGTCATAGGCTGTAGTATCCATTACGAATCTCAAATATAATTTGAAACAATTCCGGTGAATAATGTCGCTAAAATCATCAAAATACCGAATATCGGGAGGTACCGTTATATGGGGGCTATACGAAGACGTGGACCTGCACAGATCACTTTCTGTCATAGGCTGTAGTATCTATTTCGAACTGCAAATACCAAAGTTGAAACAATTCCGGTGAATAATGTCGCTAAAATCATGAAAATACCGAATATCGGGATGTTCTTATGTATGGTGGCTATATGAAAACGTGGACCTACATGGCCCATTTACGAACTTAACTTGCCTACTGGAAAAATAACACGTGTGCAAAATTTTAGCCTTCTATCTCAATTAGTTCGAAAGATAGCGTGATTACAACAGACAGACGGACATGGCTAAATCGATTTAAAATTTACGCTGATCAAGAATATATATACTTTTTTGGGTCTGACATGAGTATTTCGAGGAGTTACAAACAGAATGACAAAGTTAATATACCCTTCATAGTATGGTGGAGGGTATAAAAATTAACAATAATTAATAATTAAAGCATGAAAAAAATATAGTGTGATTGTATTGACAACCTCCCTATAAAAAATATTATTATATAAGATATGAAACCTTATTGTTATTTTCATTAAAATATATGAAAGATTCAATAAATTAAACAATTAAAAAAATGTGCGCTGGAAATGAAGCGAGGTACCGCATGCTTGGGTGGCACGTGCTGAGTGCGATGATGCTGAGTCCTGTTGGAATGTCCAAGGACTGTGGCCAAAACGTTTGCGTGCCCAAGGCTTTAATACACCCTCCAGAATATTTTCGCGATAATATAATATATGTCACTGTGGATTAATACGAGCAGGGAGCGACCATCGGCTGTTATGGCGGCCCACACCATCACCATGGCCGGCGTTTGAGTTCACCATTTTCGGCTAAGCGAAGCAACTCATTAGCTCTTTGAGTCTATTTTCTTTCTGTTGCTGTGTAAGTTCTTTCACTTTTTGAATTTCAATGGCTTTACCCCGAGCTCATTTTTAATATTTGCCGTATGGAATATTGCGATATGTCAGCTCACGAACCATTTTTTCGGCCACTGCGACGTGGGTTTCGATCAAGAGATATTGCTGATGTTGCTGTTTTCTTCCGTCCACTTCCTTGACGTCGGGCTACGCTACCACTATCCCGGTAACGAGCTATGGTACGAGACACAAAAGATTATTCACATTTAAATGTTGGAGTGCTCTAACAATAGCCACTTGTGGTTTTTCCAGCCAAATATAAAGGAATCACACTATCAAGCTTGAATTCCACCTCGAATAAATTTTTTTCTGGGAAATTCTCACAAAATTCTTTTGTACGCTTGTAATCAATATAGTGAACTGTTTTATTAAATGTGTGCTTAAGTGATCCATGCTCTATTTACTTCTTACTCAAGTAAGAACAATGAGGTCCGCGGCCCAAATCTCAACCAGTTTCAACATTTACACTACCACCAAAACAATAACAATGTCAAAAAATTGGTGGCAACAAATGCTTCCGCGAGGGAAATTGTGAAGTCCAAAATATCTTTATTGCAATTCCATAAACATTTTAGAATAGTGTTGGCTTCTTTGATCGGGATACCCTAGTATTTGTTGTAGCAAATGGTCGGGCTTAATCCCATTATTGGGAACAAGGGTACTGGTGAGAATTTGCCACTCTTTCCGAAACCTAGGTATTCCCTGCCTTACCCCCTGGTACACATTACCATCGTTCTCCACTTATAAACAAACGTTGTTTTTAGAAAAAAAAAAACAACAATAATGGATTAAGCCTAACTATTTTGCAACAACATAAACATTTTACTTTAACAATTAACTTCAATGCATTATAATTATTTTTATGAAAAAATTATAAGGCAAGACAACGTACATAATTTATAGTAATACTTCCAAGAGGTATTTATTAGTATTTCATTTATTACAGAAACTACATCATATTCTGGACATTTCGTCATTCTTTATAAACTAATTTTTTAGTTATCTAATTTAAATAGGGATACATTTTCTGTTTGATTGATAGGATTTATGTTCCCTTAGCTATCTATTGTAGTTAAATTTCAATAAAACAACAATAAACATTAATTACTTTATATTTGCAGACCGCGAGTGTCCTGAACTTGCGCAGCCTTCATTGGGCCAAGTCACATTAACAGGAAGACATTTTGGACAACGAGCTTCATATTCATGTCCTCATGGTTACCACGTTGTGGGACTACAAAGTCGTTTATGTCAAGCCGATGGAAATTGGGCTGGAGCTGAACCTGCATGCAAGCAAAACAGTAAATTATATCTAACTACTTATTAATACAAAATCGATCTTTGATATTTTTAAAATTATCTGCAGTATATTGCCTCAAGCCGCCTAAAATCGAACATGCCCGTAACTCGGCTCTTCCAGATCAAGAAACTTTCGATCTAGACTCCACTGTACAGTATCACTGCCACAATGGATATGTCACTAATGGATTCCCCAGGGCCAAATGCTTGGCCATCGATGGTCAGGCTAGCTGGTATGGCCCAGACATTCAGTGTGAACGTAAAATACAATTAAATACATATGAAAATACTCAATCGTACATAATAGTTTAAACTGTTACAGCTCGTTCATGTGGCCAACCACCGGATCCAGCAAATGGATGGCATTCAGGAGAATGTTATACTTTCGGCTGCAAAATAACATACAATTGCGGCACTGGATATGAATTAGTTGGAAAACATGAGCGCACTTGTCAATCAGATGGCTCATGGACCCCAAAGGAACTACCAACATGTGTCTGTAAGTATACTTGGAAATTCAACAAGCCATATATAACTACATATTTTAATAATAGTATATATGCTCTGCACATGATTGCTTCTAATGGTAATTTGTATTTATAATTTCTTTTATTTATGCATAAAAGCAAATAACGATACAAATTCTACCGACACAAAACTATCCTTATAAATGAATCCCACGCTTAGTGGCGAATGCTTCGAAAGGCGATCTTCATTGTGTGTCACTGTTCCTTTCTCTCCTTAAGTTGTTGTAGTTGAATCAGTTCGTTAAATTGTTTGGCGATACTATAAGGCGATATATATAATATGCATACCAAATATCCGCCGTTATTAAGATTTACTGTTAATAGTTGTTGTTAAACCTGTTGTGTATATCAATAAATAAAGTTACCGCAAATTATGAATTTGTTGTTTTATTAAAGTTCCATCAAAACAGAAAAATTAGCATTTTAAAATCTACATAATTGCGGTAACTTTCGAGAAGACTCAGCTAATGCAAATTCTCAAATCCGGGTACTTTGGAATTTAAATCGATACATCTAACAAATACGGGATTTATTTATGGATTGGGTGTAAGGAATCGAGAATTTAATCGTATATCATAATTCAGCATAAAATTAAGTAAACAAACACTATATGGTATAAAATATTAGGTGTGTCTGGTTACCCTAAAGTTTGTAACAATTGTTACAAATTGTTACTGGAAGTCGTCTGTTAACCCAAAAGTTCTGCAAAAGAGAGCGGTTGGGGAGAGAAATTTTGACAGTTCTTTCAGTGAGAGTTTGCAAATTCTTGCTGGAAAAATTTCTTCCTGCAATCTCTTGCAACTCTTATTCTTCTCATTCATCGACATTTAATCAGATGTTTTCTATTGTTTACTTATTTCTTTTTGTGCTTTTAATTTGAAAATATTGTTTTGGAATTAACAAGACTAAATGTTTTTGGAGAACAACTTTACAAAATGTGAAAAACATAAATATTAATATGTAATAAGAAAATAAAAGACTATTTCCAACATTTTTAGACAAATGCCATTAGCAACAGGTTTAAAGGATTCCGCGGAACACATCAAATCTATCTTCCTTTTATTGCTCATATTTTTATTTTATTGCCAATTTCCTTTTTATTTATAAAACTTGTGAAATTGGTGGTGGTTCCTTTCGTTTAATTCTTTTAAATGGGGAACAAATTGGTTTGTTTTGACAAATCAGCTGATTAGTTGCAAGCTTGTGCAGGAATACCGTCTGTTTACTTTTCGCAATTTCCTTGCAACATTTCTGCAGGGAAAGTAACCAGACACACCTATTGTTTACTTAATTCTATGCTGAATTATGAAATTGAATTAAATTCACAATTCCAATACGGCTTTGAGAAAAAGAAGTGAATAATGCAGAGGCGATGGTTCAACACCAAGAAAGATATAAAATATTCTCAGGAAAATATTTCTGATTTGTTCAGGACCGTTGATGGGCAAAAACATAGAATGTGGACTTGTTTTCTTTATGGGCATATTACGCCAATTAAAATTATAAACAGCTGGGAATTGTGTTAAAACCCAACAAAACTCTTTAAATATGTCGGTAAATAAAAATAAAAAACAAATAAATGCGGCACCGGTCATGATTATATGACATTATTTTAAAAGTGAAATGGACGAAAAACATATAAACGTATTTTTTACTATTTCCGTCATTCCGTTTGTAACTACTCGAAATACTCATATTCGTCCCTACAAGTACATGTATTTTTAATCAGCGTAAAATTCTAAGTCGTTTTAGCGATGTCGGTCTGTCCGTCTCTTGTAATCATGCTATCTTTCGATCGAAATGCGATAGGTGGCTCCAATTTTGAACCCTTTTTTATCATTTATTTAAGCCAGAAACAATAAAAAGGTCTAGTCTAGTAGTGATAAACTAGTAGCTTATTTATAACAAAAAAAAAAAAAATAATTTAGCTCAATAATGTTAATTAAGTGGATGTAGAAAAGCTATTTGGTTTTTCAGTTCTCAAGTCGGAGCAAATCAAAGGGCTTTTTACGTGAAAGTCTTCTAGGATGATTTGATACTTGCAATAAGTTTGTTGCTTTAATATTTGACAGTATTAATTTTAAGTCTTGCTGTAAATCACGGTTTCGAATGTGCAAAGTCGCTCTTTTTTCTTATATGTACTCTCCAAATGAGTTTAGTATCCAAAGATATTTCGGTATATAATTTATAGGTTTTAATGAGTTATCAAAGTGAATAGATTTATTGTTATTAAGTTTAAAAACCCGCTTTACGTTCCATTAATAAACACTGTTCAGAGCTGCTTGGAGTTTGCTTACAGACTCGGCTATATCCTGTCCTGTCGCCATGAGGATGGTGTCGTCTGCAAAAGTTTTTTCCATTTTCTTCCATAGGATTAATATATTTGGATTGTCTTTTTTGCAGTCTTCTGTGCTGACAATTTGGTTACTGGGATTACTGGAGAAAAGTCATTGTACATATTCAGCGAATGTTTGTGCCATGTCATAGGTTAGATTTTTCAGATAATTACGTACGAAAATACTGCCATTTGTGCTTCAATAGGCGTGATTTGGACTGATTTATTTATTTTTTTTTATTATCTAGTTTGATAGTCGTATATTAAATATATGGGAGAGTGGCCAGAGCTTAAAACATATCCATCCTCCACTGAAATCTTGTTTATATCAACATTCCATGTTATAAGGAACTCAATGAGATCCGGAGTTTTCCTTGTGTCAGTTGAAGCTACTTGGCATCCCTTTTTGATTAATTGCGTTTAATAATTCATTTCCTTTTGTCGTTGTTAATATTGATCCCCAATGCGTATATTTTGCATTGTAATCTCCACGCATAACGAATCTATGTTTTAGGTATCCCATTTGTTGCATGTACTGATCGCATTTTATTTTATGTCTTGGTGGACTATATGCCGATGTGACAGATAGTTTCTATTTACATTTATAGTAATTGTAGTTGCTTGAAACTGATCGAAACAAATTTCATTTTCCATCCAATGGCCAAGAGATTTTCCTATAATTTTAGAGCTGCTACCGAGCGTTATTGCTGGGGTAGATGGTGTGATATATATCATAGTTTTAGCGTACATGGATATAAGTTTAACAAAGTGCGTTTCACTTACAAGGCTTACATCAACTCGTTCTTCCTCTAAAATAAATCGAGTTCTTCCTTATGACGGAGCAGGCATAAGGCATTCCACTACCTAATTTTTAGAATATTACAGTTAATTTAGCGTACAAAAAGTTTTTTTCTAATATATTTAAACGGACATCTAATACTTTGTTAAATGATTCAATAGCATCCAGTTTGGATAAGATTTTTGTAAGATTTTGTAATTTTCATGTTGTCAATTCGATGTATTTAATTGTAAAATTGTGTTTCGTTTTGCAACTTCAGAATATCTTTGACCCATAGTACTAAGGGCAATATTCGCATTTAGTGTGTTTGATGGACCTTTCAATCTTAGGTTCTAACTAATTAATGTAATATATTTTATTCGTTGACAGCCATTTCCCTGGTTTGTGTCAGTTTCTTATCTCTCATATTCTGCTGTTTCAATTTGCTTTGTTTCAATACGTCCTCTATAGCTTGCGGTTACGGAGATCTTCGCATTCTACGTTTTCGGCGTGTAATTGTCAACAAATTGCATCCAATATTTAAACTCTTTATTAGAGCGAGATGTCATTCTTCTCTAGATCCTTGAAATTTGTTACTCTAATCAGGCTAATGAATTTTCTTGAGTGCTGGGCAGTGTGGCCATTTTAGCATTTTTGGAGCTAAATTAACATTAATTTTTTGTATTTAGCTGCAAAATTTTCATTTAGCATTTTTTAGCTTTTTGAAATTATGAGTTTAGCATTTTCTATGAGTTTAGCATTGTCCAAAAATTTTCTTACATTTTAGTACTTTCATATAAATCCAATTTTTCTTAAATCTAAAAAATTAAATTACATGAACCTTTATTTTATTTACTTTAAGATATGTGTATAAGAATTTTAAAATGCTTTAAATGAAAACCCGTTCAAGGAATTGTCTTCTTTTGTTATGAAGTGTCTAGTTTTACCATTTAGTAACGAAGAAGTTGGAAGAGTTTTCAGTGGCATGAACCTTATAAACGCAGAAATTAGAAACAGAATGATATTACACACTATGAATTCATTTTTTATACCCTCCACCATACTATGGAGGGTATATTAACTTTGTCATTCCGTTTGTAACTCCTCGAAATAATCATGTCAAACCAAAGAAAGTATATATATTCTTGATCAGCGTAAAATTCTAAGTCGATTTAGCGATGTCCTTCCGTCTGTCCGTATGTCTGTCTGTTGTAATCACGCTATCTTTCGAATGAAATGAGATAGATGGCTAAAATTTTGCACACATATTTATTTTTGCAGTAGGCAGGTTAAGTTCGTAAATGGGCCATGTAGGTCCACGTTTTCATATAGCCCCCATATAACGGTACCTCCCGATATTCGGTATTTTGATGATTTTAGCGACATTTTTCCCGGAATTGTTTCAAAATTAGTATTTGAAGTTCGTAATGAATACTACAGTCTAAGATAGAAAATTGTCTGTGCAAGTCCATGTCTTCGTATAGCCCCCATATAACGGTACCTCCCGATATTCGGTTTTTCGATGATTTTAACGACATTATTAACGGGAATTGTTTCAAATTTGGTACTTGAAGTTCAACATGGATACTACACCCTAAGACAGAAAATTGTCTGTGCAGGTCCACGTATTCGTATAGCCCCCATATAACGGTACCTCCCTATATTAGGTATTTTGATGATTTTAGCGACATTATTCACCGGAATTGTTTCAAAATTGGTATTTGAAGTTCGTTATAGAAACTACAGTCTGTGACAGAAAATTGTCTGTGCGGGTCCAGGTCTTCGTATAGGCCCCATATATCAGTACCTCCCTATATTCGGTATTTTGACGATTTTAGGTACAATACCCACCGAAATGG